GTTGGTTTGGTTATTGATTGTTGGAAGGGTGTGTACTGTGTTGTAGTGGGACTAAAGCAGATCACCTGGGAGAGTGCAATGGGGTTTAAAAAAAAAAAAATCTAACCACAAGAGAACCAAGCCTTAGCTCTTCTTCTGTAAGTGTGGAATAACTTTATTACCATGAATGGGGTTAGTTTGCATTTATGCTAATGTAAATCTGGCTCTATAAGCTTAGATGGCAAATGCATAAATGATTTCCTGCAACATAATCACCATGGCTCTGCTGCAGAGAGAAGAGAAGCAGGCTGTATGGAGCCTATGCAGGACTATGTTAGCTCTGTATGCAGTGAAATGAAAGCTTAGTGTGGGCTGCCTGGATGCTGCTGTGCACTCGGGCTTCTTGGGCTGGGCTGGTAGAGCAGCTACTGTGGATCACCAACCATTTTTCCTCAGTGAGGTGAGTAGGTATGCATGAGGCTGGAGTAGTGTGAGAAAGTCTGAAGCTGGATTCCTCTTCCCTTCAGCTGCTGAGTATACCACCTTGCTGCTCAAATTGTGCAGGGAGAGAGTGGGGACTTTAGGGTTAATTCTAAAGCACTTCTCAGTGGATACCTTAATGAAATCACTTTGGTAGAAGGTAGTGTAGTAGTTCACTGGTAGCACAGAGAATGGAACCAAGGTTTCACTCAGTCCAGTTTCCTAACCACTGTACCACCCCGGTTCTTATATAGTTCCTTTTGGGCTGTTTCTTAATCTTGTTCATTCACTAGAAGTAAGTAACTTCAGAGTGTAGCTCAGCAAATAATTTTTTTTCTCTGCTTATTAAGAGTGTGTGTATGAGAGTGTCTCTCTCTCTCTCTTATCCCAGCTCAATAAGCAGGCAGGATAGCCCATATATTATCTATTTGTCCCTGAAGGACAAAAATCTCATGAACAGCTTATTCACTTAACTGTTTTATTACTCTGGTCAAAATATATTTATTTCTACTATCCAAGGAATTGTCTCCAACAAGAATTTAATATGAATGTTTTACTGGGCTTGGGAATAAAGGGTATGATTTTTTTTTAATACCTTGTGAAGTCACTTCTGCTGCTGCAAAATGAGTATAAGATGCTTCTGAAAGTATTTTACCCCAACTTTGGGCCAGAGTTCATGACTGCACAAGACCGTGGAGAATAAGGCCAAAGAGCTACACTTCTGCTCTTTACTGAACATGAGGTCTGTCATGAAATGATAACTTCATTAAACAAATTCACAAAGGAAGAGACTTTAAAATCAGACAAATTCAAATGCGAAATGAGGCAGGATGAGGGTGATAAAACATTGAAACAAACTACCAAAGGAAGTGGTGAATTCTCCATTTCTTGATGTCTTTAGGTCAAGACTGGACACCTCTCTGGAAGATAGGCTTTCATTCAGCACAAGTTATTTGGCTCAATAAAGGGCTAACTGGGTGAAATTCTTTGGCCTATGTTATGCAGGTGATCAGACTAGATCTGATCTTTTGGCCTTAGAAGCTATAAATCTATGCCACAAAAGGAAGTGAGGTGCCCAATATCTACTGAAAGTCTTTGCACCTTTGAAAATCTCTCCCCCCCCCCCCCAGTGATAACTGCTAGCTCTCTTGAGCAGTAGTTCTGCAAGGGCAGTCAGAATCATCATCCCCATTTTACAGAGGAGGGAAAACTGAGGCAGACAAAGGTGAAGTGACTTACCTAAGGTCACCCAGCAGCCCAGTGGCAGAGCCAAGAATAGACCCAAGATGTCCTGAGTCTTAGTCTGGTGGTGTTTTCTAGGCCAGACTGGCTCTTGTGGGATTGTGAAATCAGCTCAGAGTGCAGTGTCACTCATGAATGTCTTTAAACATTTTGTAGTATTCATTTTATTATGGCATCATTATGTTTCCTGTTCTGTGACGGATAGCTCAGTGGTTTGAGCATTGGCCTGCTGAACCAAGGGTTGTGAGTTCAATCCTTGAGGGGGCCATTTAGGGATCTGGGGCAAAAATTGGGGATTGGTCCTGCTTTGAGCAGGGGGTTGGACTAGATGACCTCCTGAGGTCCCTTCCAACCCTGATATTCTATGACTGTAAATTTTCACTGTCAGAAACAATGCATAAGTATTTTAAAGAGGTAGGACTTGGATACAACAGCTCCAGTATAAAACTTTGCAACCTAAGTTTGTTTTTAAGCAGTCTGATTTCTAAATAAACATATACTTGTTTGACACACTACTTATTTTTTAAAATGAAATTGAAATGAGATCTACAATAAGTATACATATATTTAAGGACCCCTATCTAAAAGTTAACGTATTGTATCTGTGTGGTATACTACGTGTACAGTGCTTCAATTCAGAAAGACACAAAAATCCAGTTCCAGTTTTTCTTTGTCCCTGTCTTTCCCAAATGGATAGAACCCTCTATCTATTTGACCCTACTTGCAGAATTTCTTACATAACATTTGTCACCTGTGATAGTCACTGGTAGGTTGCTGCTGGGTTTGCCAAACCTCGTGGGAAGGGGCTCTGGCTATCACTGTGAAGGAATAGTTTTAAAATAGCTTAATTGTAGGATGATTTGTGGACACTCAGAGCAACAGGCTGAATTATAATCCAAGATGCCACAGTTGGCTTCAATTCCTGCAGGACAGTCAATGGATGAATATTTTAAAGCACAGCTGTAACTTCCACAATCTTGGAGAATATAAGGGCTTCTTTTTTGATGCTCACAAGGGGCTTAAAGGTGACCTTGATCCAGCCTCGTTCCTGTGTCACTTGTGAATATCCATTGCATGCATTGGTGCTCACAAATCCAACAGCAGATTTTGTGAGCTATCTCATTGTAAACCTGTATGTCTCAGACTGCAGTAATATAGTATGTTAAGTTGTCTGCCAGTCATGTTCAATCTTTTCCCTACAAATCTAAGTGTCTGCATAATTAACCCTGTATGAATCCATGGTCTTGGTTCTGTATTTATTTTAACATGGATATAGAGCAGCTGTTCCCAAACTCGTTCTGCCTCTTGTGCAGGGAAAGCCCCTAGTGGGCTGGCCAGTTTGTTTACCTGCCGTGTCCGCCGGTTTGGCCGATCGCAGCTCCCAGTGGCCGCAGTTCGCTGCTTCAGGCCAATGGGAGCTGCTGGAAGCAGCGCGGGCCGAGGGACATACTGGCCGCTGCTTCCGGCAGCTCCCATTGGCCTGGAGCAGTGAACCGTGGCCAGTGGGAGCCGCGATCGGCTGAACCTGCGGACGCGGCAGGTAGACAAACCGGCCGGCCCGCCAGGGGCTTTCCCTGCACAAGCAGAGGAACAAGTTTGAGAACCACTGATTTAGAGAAAGATTTCTAAAATGTTAACATTTCAGCAGTTTGGATGTATCACAACAAAGATATGACCTCTATGCTCTGTTATAATCCTCTAAAAAGATTAGGGCTTAGTTCACCAATCTGAATTTTTGCTCTGTAAGTCTGAACAAATATTTTCACAAAACCATATTCAATGTTGAATCACATGTGCCGCATGGCTAGAACCCTTAGACATTATTTATCAGGAAGACACTCAAAGGAAAAGATGACATCTTTTAGCTGCATTTGGGCATGGGGTTTTTATACAAATAATAGCTGAAGGCGGAGTAGTGTACAATGTCCACAACAAGATGACAAGCTCTCAAAAAACAATAGTGAACATTTTCCATAAATAAAATGGGTAAACAAAGCATTTGCACAGTGACATAAAAACTCGTGATTTTTTTCTGAACTAAGGATTTAACAAAGCAGTTACTTCATGCAATGTATTAAGGCTTGGCATGATTCGATTTTTTTCAGCAAATGTTGGTAAAAATCGATTTCACTGTATTTGTCACAAACTGACAAATTTCCATCAATCATAATCAAAATGTACACCCAGGCAAAGTAAGAAAAATGCTGCTTGAGAACTTTAGGGCTTGATTTGTGTGTGCTGTTGACAATTTGTGTTTCTATGGTTATAAAGTTTTAACTTTTTGAATCTCCGTGTCTACTAGCATTACATAGTTATTGCCTGGTCCTCCATAACTTCCCACAACAGTGGAAAATTTTAATAGATAAAAATTGAAAAAAAAATGCTTAAAACCCATAACTTTCTACAACTGTGGAAAATTTAAATTGATTAAAAACAAAAAGCATAAAATAAACATTGATATCTGTCAAAATTATTTAAAACATTGAATTCTGCCAACACTACATATATTATTTATATTTTCTTTGGTCTATTATAAATTATTTACGTGTTACTTTGTTAGTGCAAATATGTTTTCTCCAGCATGGGTGACCGGGATACCCAGGATGTTTTTTGTTTGTTTTTTAAAATGATCTCACCTTCCATTGTAACATTTGTAGTCACAGAGTTCAGTCCAGTACTTCAATGCAGAACTGTCACTATTGTTTTATGCAGACAGGAGGGATTTTCCAAAATCAGAGATGACAGATCTCTCATACCACCAAAAAAGCTTGTAAAAAAAAAATCCATTCAATGCTCACTGAGTTTAAATGAGCTGTGCTCTTTATTCCCAAACTGTATCCTCCTAAATATCAAATCTATGTAAGTATCAGTGGTTTCATCTAAAGTACTATGCCTCTGACATAAATAAAGGGCAGATCCCTGGAGATAAATCTTCCAAAATGACCTTATAGCTAGTTAATCAATGTATCACAACAAATGTATGGCCCTTTTATTTTCTCCATTGTACATTGCTCTGATCTATGTATAAATATTGATGCCAGTGTAAAGGTACAAGAACTTGTAGATCAATAAGAAACACTCCTTCAGGTATATTGATTACCATTTGCTAGAGACTGATGGATTTTTTTTTTTGGGTAAATTACACTTCCATCTGTAAGTCTGTTAAAACTTTATCCCATAACTATGTGTGGTAACGGAATATCAGATCCTGCCATAGTAAGACCTAAAGAGAAGATATATATTTAATTCAGAATCAGTACTAAAACAAAAGCAATTGTTTTACATGCCATGTAACTCACCCATCTTGGGGATGGTGCATCAGTGCCACTTTACTTTTATCAAACTCTTCCAAGTCCGAGTCCTCATTTAAGAGCACATATTTCTCATGCTTGCCTACCTCCATTATTTTAATTAATTTGTAAAACCTCAAACTAAAACCTGTGAAAATCTCTGCTGCTTTATTCTATCCCTGCTTATAAACATACCGCTGTAAAGTCTCCTAGCTTTTACCTCCCACTGTAAAGTTCAGTAACAACTTCAGGGCAAAGGACTTCTCTGTGTGAGTTTTCTGAATCTGAAAGGGGATCTTGCTTTGTAACTCCAGGAATTCTTGGGTTGCTTCCAGTTGTCTTCTGCTAGCTCCTCCTCTCACTTTCACAACAAGTTGCAGTCTCAGAATACAGAGATGAGATTAGGTTAGTTTGCAAGAAGTGGGGGAAAGTAAAAAGAGGCAAGAGTGAGGAGAGAGAGGAAAAAACACTTTCTTTGTCTTTTTTTTTTAAACTTTCCCTTTTTTCAACTAGAAAAGTGAGAAAAGGTTTTATTTTAAAAATGAGAGAAACTAACATTTCTCTTATTTTAATTTTTCATCCCCCTTTCAGTGGGAAAAGATAGTTATAGAAAGAGGGAAGGGAACAAATAAAAAATACCCAAAATATTTTAAACTAACAGTTTAATTTTGAACTTTGTTTTCAATCACATACCTGACAATTTTTTAATGAAATAAAATGAATATATTAAAAAGGAAAAAAAAACTTTAAGGAAAAAAAAATCCAAACCCTCTATTCCTAGTGCTGCCCTGGGTTAACCTGCCTCTGCCCTGCCTCTGATTACCACAAAATATGGGTGAAATACTGACCCTGTGGAAGTCATGGGAGTTTTGCTATTGACTTCAATGGAAGGAGGATTTCAACCTCTGTTCTTAAAGCACCACCTACCCTTTATTTTCTGTTATTTTTCAGAAAATATCTTTTGCCCTCATTCTACCAACCTCATTGGAGTTGAGTGACAACTACTCACAGGGAAAGGTATTACCCAGCAAGGGTTAGGATGACAGATTATCTCTTAAAGAAAGCAAGCACAAAGGGCCTAAAGAACATGAGCAAGTTCATAAGAAGACATCTACAGAATAAACCTCATCGTCTAAATTCATGCCAATTATGCACTGTATTTGCCAGTGAAGAGTCATGTATCAGCACTTGGAGAATACCCTAGTCTATTTGCAGAAAGCCAACTGAACATAATATTCCCAAAAATCTATTTTGCAGTTCCAAGGGATCTGTTAGAGACTGTCTTACTGAATAAATAGGCTAGCCAGTCCAACGTACCTTTGCGTATGGATGTGATGTTTTGATTTTTGGTTTATTTTACAGGATGGCCTACTTACCAAAAAATGTTGTTAGGAGCAAAAAATCAAAATGTTTTTGAAAAAACTCATCAGCTTAATTTCTCACCACATTGTTAATTATTTGTATGACTATAGTGCCTAGCAAGCCCAACCAAGACTGAGTCCCCATTGTGCTCAGTACAGTACAAATACACAGTCCTCATCTTATTGCGCTTGCACGATGAGTTGACAAGGCAGACTACTTAAATTGCAAGATCTTGGGGGCGGAGGTTGTCTATTTGTTCTGTGTTTGTACAGGGGCTAGCACAATAGGCTCCTGGCCCATGACGGGGACTCTCGGGAGTTACAGCAATACAAAAGAATAATAATCAGCATTAGAGGGGAAACAGCAGCACGGATTGTTGAGACACACAGCAGGTCAAATGCAAAGCCAGGAATTGAATCTTTGTGTCCCCATTCCTAGTCTAGTGCCCTAAACACTGTACAACACTGCCTCTCAGCAAAAAGTTCCAGATGGAAACGCTAGATGGAGCTACATTGATTTACGCCAGTTTCAGATTTCTGCCAGAGCAGAAAACATACTTACACAGAAAACTTAATGTGTCTCTGGTAAACTAGTAAAATTCACAGTATCATCCTGGTGAGAAGAGATTTCTGAGTAAACCTGTGGTCCCAGGATTTTTAGCTAGGGTGAGTTACATGAATAAAATGAGAACGTATAGTACATACAGTACTTTTCAAACATGTTGCAGCAATTTTCTTAAATTTCAGTTTATAGCACTGTGTTCCCAACTGAATTACCTTCGGGAGCTCAGCTTAGCGTGGCTTTCAATCTGTGAAGAACAACAGCAGCAGCAAAAGCTGCATTCACCCTTAAACACATAGAAGCAAAGTCTTAACCAGTCCAGGGGTCCAATTGTTGTCAACCTGGATAGAACTCACTCCATTTCTGCAAGGGTGGTGATGGCTCTAATGTTAAAGGGATTTCAACATTATAATTTACAAAAATGATGGGCTAGATTATGGTCCACCTAATGCCCTACCAACAGGATATACATGGCACTCTCTTCCACCTTGGAAGGCAGGTGAATAATAGGCAGATGGGAGCAGGGAATGGACATGCCTTGGCCATACCCCATCCCTACCACCAATGTGCTGGCTAACACAGATGCATTAGGGAAGTTATTTGTGTCAGGTACAGTGATGGAGAACAGAGGTCATCAGAAAGCAGATTCTAACTCAGAAGCACAGTGTGGTTCCTGCTCTAATCCTGGGGCACCACAACTATACCCCACCCTGTATTTGGCGCACAGCCACAATTTAGCCTTGTGCTAATTTCTTCCTTGAGCTAGTTGTGCTTGGTGCGATGCCTCCCGTTTGGAGAAATTACAGTTCATCTGAGATCACCAGTTAAATTTAGTGGGTTCCAACCCAGAATGTTTCCATTGATGGGTTTATTGGGTAGGTGTCTAGAAAAAATTACATTGACTTGAGCATTACATGCTGCTTCAAGAGACTATTGGCTCCAGGGAGATTGCAGATATCATGAGGGTGTGTCTCATCAAGGGGTGATATCGGAGCGTTTGTGGCAAAACATCAGGAGAGGGAAAATGACCTCAGCTAACAAAATGAGAATAGCACTTCCATAGCTTTTAACCAGACGCTAGCAATAATATGTTCCTACGATGCTATAATGATAAAACTGCTTACTAATTTTGCAGTATTTTAACATCTGATGAAATTATTTCATTTCATTTGTACCATACATTGAAAAATTGTAAACAGCATTACTAGGAGTGAGGAAATTTGCATATAAATGAATAAAGAATCGATAATAAAGATAAAAGCCCTCTGCTAGTTTAGTCTGTGCTCTTGGATTAAAATAATAATAATAATATACTATAATAAACTCCTAATGTCCAGATTTTAAATGCTGGACATCACCAAAGGTAAATGAGCGTACCACAGGTGTAAAAAAATTGATGGTCTTATCTGTTAAATGGATGGACTGCTGTTAGAGTCAACAAATACTCTTTAAAATAGGTTTGTATCAGTTCTGCCGAATCAGCGCCAAAAAAATCTTTCATCTACTCAAAAATGGAGACAATATGCAATATCTTCCCCCAGAAGTTAATCTGTCATATTTCCTTGAGTTTATGTGCTATGCCAGCTGGATAAAAACCTCACCAACATATGCTATGTGTAAGTCATATGTATAGAACATGTGATTCACTCCACACAGTAAGTCATATTAATTTAAAATAGTACATTTTTCTGTATTCATACATTTTGTTTTTAATATTAATTATTTTTCACCCACCTAACAAAAGTGTTTTCATCTCCAAATTACACTAGTTACTATCACTTTGATTGAAATTAGTGGTTGTTCACATTAGGCATGAGCCAGATCATGCTCATGTCCAGTTATCCATGGACAGAGGGGACCCTATCCATGATGATCTCCCCATCCCATGTAGAAGACCGGTCAAGATGCTTTGAAGCATCATCCCCTCTTTGCAGACCCCCAAAGAGGGCATCCACTGGGGTTGGTATCTACGCAGGAGGAGAGGGCAGGGAGTACACAGCCCTGGGTTGGGTGGCGCATAGGAATAATCATATAATAATTATGATTATTATAATCATAATAATCTCCAATGCCTTGTGAAAATTTCCTAGAAACGTTTATGCAGCCCCAGGCTATAATAATAGTCATTCGAAACCATAAGACTAAATACTAACTACTTGTTGTTTGTTGTTAACCATCAGTTTATTTTTGTACTATTAAAAAGCTTGATAAAAGGTGGTTGTCATTGTTTGTTTTTAAAGAAATGGTACCTGTTCCATCCCACAGAAGAAGAAGGCTGAATCAGCATAAATAATGAGGCTATTGGACTGTGACAGTGAGCAATGAGCTGGGTCACAGGCATTTGACAATCAGCTCAATCAATGTACACTGATTCCAATTAATCACAGTCTACCAGGACAAGGAGCTCAGTGTTTAAATAACAGTGGGGCAATACTTTGTTGATGGTATAAATTATGCAGTCCAATTTCAGGAAGGCTCCCTAACTGCAGGAAAGACAGTCTATCAAAATGCCATTATGCTGTGCGTATAACTGTGCCATTACTGCTAATGTTTGTGCAGGTCATTGCAGATTCAGTTTCATGATGAATTTAATGATAAAATCCTGAAGAATTACTGTTGATTGCTCTTCACATATTCATCTCAGCCATTCCCCTCACAAGCTCCCATAGACAGATACACACCAATTGTGTTGTTAATCACTGTCCCAGCCTCCATGGCAACAAATTTGAGAGGTCACTTGGAAATATGCAGGTGAAGAGAGGAGAAAAAAAAGGGAGGAATAACACTGGGCCAGATCCTGTCTATGCACGCCTGCCGGAGACTAAGGAGCTGTTTATTCCCCTGAGTGGGCTACCGGCATTGTGGTAGGTAACAGCACAGAGACACAGAGAGAGACTATTCACCCCCTCCAGGCTGTTACTCCCATCGCATGCAGGTAGGTGGGCAGGGACAAGGAGTGGATGGAGCCTTGACTCTGCCCCTCAGATTCATCAGTCAGTGGCGCTGAACCATTGCAGAAGGGCTGGTGCCTCTTACTTCCACCTTGGAAGAAAGAGAAAAAATGGATGGGAATATTCTCTTCCAGTTCCACAGCTGGGGCAGTGTAAAGATGTGCTGCCCCTGACTTGGTGTCCAGTCAGCCCAATGTTCTTATATTATAAAGTTTATTTACAGTCTCATTTAGTAAATTGGTTAGAATAAAGCTAACCAACCTGTAGTCATTCTTATGCCTTAAAAAAAAAAAAAAAAAAATTGCAGCATGTCAGATTGAAGTGGGAGTATCCACTTGAAGTGTCTAACAAATTCTGTGACACTAAGAGTCTTTGATTTCTGCATTTAATTACCGGTATGTCTCGATAGGATTATT